GGAGCAATCAGTGAAGAATGAGAAAAACCAAAACAGTTTGGTGTCCTGGAAGCCAATGTGAAGAAGGTGTAGGAAGGTGAAGTGGATGTTCACCTATATCAAATGCTTCTGTTACGACAAGCAGAATGAACTCTGAGCTTCGACCAATGGACTTGGCAACACAGGGTCATTAGTGACCTTGAAGAGGAATTCTGGTGGAGTCATAGGGATGAAAGCACTCAAGTATTTGCTGACTAAATGAATGATCGTATTAATGAACTTTCTCTATTAATTTGTTCTCCTGGTCACCTAGATGTAAAACAGACTTGTCGGTGAGCTCTCTCTTTCCCTTGCCACTTTCTAAGTGGCTGTCTTACTGATTTACCTTCACAAACTTTCTGAAAGTACTTCCTTCCTCTTTAATTCTACAGCTTCTGTACTAATCTAGGTCCTTGAAGAAGACATTACAAATCAATGAAGAAAAATCAGACTCTTTGATAAATGATGCTAAAATAACCATTTGTCCATGTAAGGAAAAAAGATACCTACTTTAAAACATATACAAGTTCTAGACTGGGCGCAGTAGCTCACACTTGTAATCCCAGCACTTTGGGAGGCTGAGGCAGGAGGATCCCCTGAGGTCAGGAATTCAAGACCAGCTTGGTCAACATGGTGAAACCCTGTGTCTACTAAAAATACAAAAATTAGCCGGGCGTGGTGGTGCATGCCTGTAATCCCAGCTTCTAGGGAGGCTGAGGCAGGAGAATTGCTTGAACCCGGGAGGTGGAGGTTGAAGTGAACCAAGATCGCACCCCTGCACTCCACAATGGGTGACTGAGCAAGACTCCGTCTCAAAAATAAATAAATAAATAAAACATATACAAGTTCTAAATGTGAAACATAAAACTTCTGGAAGAGATATAGAATATGTTTATGACTTTCGCTTATTAAAGATTTCTTTGATATAAAATTCAAAAACCATAAAAGTGTTATTAATTTGGGTATATTAAAATTAAAGACACAATTAACAAGTAAAAATAGTGGCATAGGAGAACATATTTATAACACATAAAGCCGACAAAGCAGAAGTATCTAGAATTATAAAGATTTCCTTCATATCAAATAGCCCTATAGAAAAATAGAGAAAAAGAATGAATGGGAAATTCACAAAAGAGGAACAAATGGGCCAATAAACTTTGATTAAATGTTCAACCTTAGTATCAATCAGGGAAATATAAAATTACAAAGAGGTACTATTCATATCCACAAGATTGGTTAAAATTTTAAAGTTTGACAATATCAAGTGTTGATAAGGATGTTAAAGAAATTCTTATATACTGCTTGGCATGATCCCTCTGGAGAGTATTTAACAACATACAGCAAACCTAAAAATATGCTTATCTTATGACCCAGAAGTTGCACTGTAATGTATCTAGTATATCTAATGTAACCCTACTTAAAGTATTATACATGCACAAAGAGATATGTACAAGAATATCATTTAAAACATTATTTGTAATTAAACAAATAAAACAAGGAGTTTTAAGTTCTCAGAAACAAGCCAGATGACCATCAAAGAAAGTAAGTTTAAATAAAGAGTGTATTACAGAATGGACCACTATTCAGCTGTTTAAATGAATAAGCTAGACCAACATGTACAGTTACATAGATAATCTCTAAGTCACTGTTAAATAAAAATGTTGCAGATGAATATATATCTCTTTATATAAAAATATTATTAACAAAAAATTTAATAAATGTAAAATAATATTGTTTATGGATACATAAAGTATGGGTATGATACACTAATTCAGGATAGTGATTGCCACTGGGGAGGAAGAAAAGGAATAAGATTGGTGGACGAAAACACACTTATTAATTATATATGTAATTTTCTTAAGCTCAGTGGTAACACATGGGTATTTACTATATTATTCTCTATATTTCCGTATGCCTGAAATTTTAAAATTAATTTAACGAAATCAACATATTACTAAAGTACAACTTCTTCAGCCTTGATTCAAGACTCTCCACGGTATTATTCTAATCGATTTTTCTAGCCTCTTCCTTTAGTATTTCCTATAGCAGTGTTTCCCAAAACTCAGAGACTTATATACCTCTTTCACTATTTTTGTTATGTAGCCATCTCTATCATGATTAATATTTTTCTTTTCATCATTTTTAACTTAAATAGCCTTGTACAAATCAATAAAGCATATTTAATATGCCAGTTAATATAAGTATTAAAATGTTTGTCCTAGTGCCACCTAAAAACAACAAGTGTCACATTTTGGGATGCCGTGTCTTATGCAAGTGGTTCTCAAATTTAACACACAAGATTGTGTGGGAGGCTTGTCAGAAATGGAGACTCTCAGGCCACACCTTTAGGGATTCTGATTCAGGCAGTCAGAAGCAGAAACCCTGCCTAATAAGAAGCCTTGGCACCTACCAAGTTGGACTACTTGCCATTCTCTAGACAAACTCTCCACTTTCCTTCTATACTTTTCCTCTTGGTATTTCCTCAGCTTGAAGTAACCCTCTCTTTCCCTAAGCCAGTAGAAATTAAGCCTATACATTAAAGCCCTTCTTAAATATGACCATCACAATAAAGTACTTTGACTTAGATGTGACATCTCTCTCGTTTCAACCCTCTTCTTTCCTCTATCAATTTATTTCTATTTCCATATGGATGCTTATCATATTCAATGTAATATATGTCTACTTGTCTTATTCCCGCTACTGAAGTATAAATGTTACTTGAGGATGGAAGCTTTACACCTTGTTCTCAAGCAGAGATTGTATTCTGGTCATTTTATGCTCTGTATATGATAGTTATGCAGATACTTGCTAGACTGAATTCTGCTAAACACTGAATCAGTTTAACAATTTTTATTAATATTTTAAAATCATATAGCATAAGGAGTTATTCATTCACAGGGTATTATGAATTAAACATGAGACTAGACTAACAGCTTCATTTTCAAAATGAGAAAACTGAAAATATATATCTTATATAGAAACAAATAATTTTAAGTTAATTTAATTTTTAAAGGTTAAAAAAAAATGGTCGAACTAAAACTGCCCAATTCAGTTTTTAAGAAAAAAAGTCAAGTGCTTAACTTATAACCTTCCAGGCAAAAGAAACTGACTGTGTTATTAACTGACATAGTGAGTTTTGGATACTGCTACAAAAAGCTACTCACTTAAGAAGAACAATATTATAACAGCAAAGTTAATTGATTCTTACACAATTCTCAGTACTTCCAAAAGACATTTCAATATAATTTCTCTTTACTTTAATGCATATTATTCTGATGCTCAAGAGTAATAATTTCTAAGTATTTTTCCAATGTAAAAACCACAACTGTCTTTAATTAGAAAATATCAACACACAATTCATTAATTTTGTTTTTTTCTAATTTGGTAATAATAATCTGGTTTGTTTCTATTCTAGGAGTCAACTGCTTTACTGTTTTAAACATATTTTAGTCCAGATAGAAAATAAATGAATAGAAACAGAGAAATGGGACTTTTTAATGTAAAATGTTCATCAACATCAATAAATATCACAATATCACCTGTATTTGTATACTTTAGCACACACATGATACTTTGTAAAGACAAAGAACTGTCAAATTAAAATATACAAATGTATATACTAATTTCCAGTAATAGGAGGAAAAATGAAAAATATATATTTTGTTATGTTCACCTGGCCTTCCATGTTGAAAAAGGAGAATGAAAAGAGAACAACTGTGAGAAATGAAGACTATGGAATGGTTCCCACTCATTTGCTTCTTTCCTCATTCATTTTTCTGTCATATTCCTGTTAAATTTCCTCTTTCATATGGCAGGTCAAGTAAACTAAATCTAGCTTATATGAAACATTTTATTTATCATTCCACTTTTACATTCTAAAAACAAAATTTCAACTCACTATATCCACTTTCCTGAATAAAATTAACTGGAAATAAAGCAGTAATAAGTTACTATTATACATAAGCTCCAGTTAAGAATTCTGAGGTCAGGAGTTCGAGACCAGCCTGACCAACATGGAGAAACCGCGTCTCTACTAAAAATACAAAATTGGCCAGGCATGGTGGCAAATGCTTGTAATCCCAGATACTCAGGAGGCTGAGGCAAGAGAATTGCTTGAACCTGGGAGGCAGGGGTTGCGGTGAGCCGAGATCGCACCATTACACTCCAGACTGGGCAACAAGAACGAAACTCGGTCTTAAAAAAAAAAAAAAAAAAAAAAAAAAAGAATTCCCAAAAATGACTAGTATTGGTCTTACTTACCATAAAATGATAGCCTAACTATTGATACAAATAAAGAGAGCTATCTAACTATGCTTACTTCTTCAAAAAGTAGTCTTTTTTTCCTAAAGTACTAAATATAGATAGCTATTAAGGTTCCATAAATGTTTTAGCAGTACTCAAGGACCAAAAAAATGTAGAAGTATAAATGTAATGAGAAGAAGTTAAATAAACCTCTTTCAAAGATCCTTTAAGTAGAACAGATCAGATTAGACAAGCTTATTGGAAGGTAAAAACACAGCTCATTTGATAAAGCAGTTCTGAGAAATCCAAAAATACCATTTCTCTTTTTAAAAAAATCAAAGAAGCACTTGGACTAACAAGAAATAATGCACAATTTGGCTTGATCAAATACTTCATTAATTTTTTTCCTACCCCTAAGGGATTGCCCTTTTAAAATCTTCTTCAAATAGAATATAACCTAATTGCTTGCACCGGTCTACAGTTTGCAAAAGGATTTTTATTTCAACAGTGCCACCTAGTGGACCAATCACTACTTTCAACTGGTCACTAGTTGATTTCATTTGCCTCAAACGCTAAGATTCCTCAAATAGCTTTTTTTTCAGTTCACAATGGTCCTAATAATAATAACATTCAAGAGGAAATTTTATAAAAATATCATAATTTACAGGTTTTTGCCTTCTGACAGTCTGTCTCTAATAAAATTAGGTCATTTACAAATACAATATTTTAAATAAAGGTACCTTGGTGATTTCTTCAGAAGCTCGTTCGAAGTCCTGAACATTTCGACAGTAAAATCCTATTGTACAGCTGGGATCCATTTTTCGAAACGACATCTTTTTGGGAGAAGGGCAGTGGAATGTCTGTAATTTTTAAAGTTCTTCAGGATTAATTTATTTGATAGACAAGTATATATAAAACTATTATTTAAAATTTCCTATCTGGCTTTTTCCCATCACTATAAACATGATTTTCAAATGGTGTTTTAGTTCAGCCTGTGCAGATAGTCCTCCCCACTCTGCAAAACTATAAAATACAAGAGCCAACTTTTGTATATATTTAATTCACCAAATTTCAACCTTTTGTGACATTAGTGCCATTCTGCAAAAGTAAGGAAGCGTGTCAAAAGTGGTATGCATTTCTAACACTTGAAAACACGAAAAAGATATGCACAGCCTAGTACGAGGCTTGGAATTGAGTTAGTCATTTCTATTAAAATGCAGTTAAGTCTGTTTTGTTGGAGATTTTGGGTAATGTTTATTAACCTTTTAACAAGGACATCAAGACTTTTTAAACAAATACACAGATTCAGGTAAATGTTCTATATTGATATAAAAATAGGTCAACTTGAGGGTTTTAGCAATTCACACAATTAGTACATAACTGCATATTCTTCAACTTTCTCTTTGAGTGTGCTTTAATTCTTGTTTCTTCTCAGACAACAGGCTGGAACAAGTGAAACCATTCCATTATGGTCCTTGCTCTCTTTCTCATCAGTCCTTTTGTCTCTTTAGTTCACTTTTCTCCAACAGACACAGTGCCACAGATATAAATGGGCTGGGGAGGCTGCCCTAGTTTCTCTACTGTCTTGCTAATGGATTTGGCTAGAGTTTGGCATCTTTAGGGAATACAAAAGTAGAAAAAGGGCAGAATATAAAAATAATCATTGCAATCTTTTTGTTCTTCACAATCACACCTTAGTACTATGTTTAAAAAATTTTTTTCATGCTTAAATGCTTTGCCTGTCCTTAAAAATCACTGATGTGACCAAGTCTTTTTCTGTATGTAGAAAAAATAAGTTTGTGTTAAAAAGAACGTAAGACGATATATTCATATTTGTATAAATAAACTAAGGATATACAAAAATTAACAAGTTTGTGGGAAAGGGAGAGAACTGGGCAGATGGGAGACAAGTGTGGGAAATATTTGAATTAAAGAACAAGCTCAATTAAGAAATAATCTAGGAGCTGGGTGCTATGGCTCCCATGTACAATCCCAGCTATTCAGGAGGCTGAGGCAGGAGGACTGCTTGATGCAGTAAGACAAGATCATGCCACTACACTTCAGCCTGGGTCAGAGGGCAAGACTCCATCTCCATTAAGGGGAGGGGAGGGGAAGGGGGAGGAGGAGAAGGGGGGGGGGGGGGGGGGGGGGGGGGGGGGGGGGGGGGGGGGGGGGGAGGGGGGGGGGGGGGGGCTGGATTTGTGCTCATAAAGTTATAATTTCCCTATATTCAATGCCTAAAACTAAGGGATTTTTAACTTCATGCTATCTATTAAAATGTAGAAAAATAAGTTGTCATATTTGTTATGTTCATGGTGAAATCAATTAAAGTCACTCTTTCTCTCCCTGTACATCCTAGTGACCCAATTTGTATCGCATATCATCACCAAAAGATATGCAAAATATACACATTCAAGTTGTTTTTTTTCCAATGAAAAGTTCAATTGCATATGAGATTCAAATCCAACAATACGTCAGTTAATATAGGCCAAAAAATGAGTTTTCAAAACTATGACTTCTGCAAAATGCTTAGCTAACTTACTTTACACACTGAGATTCAACCTTGCTAAACTGGAACCTCCATGGCACTAGTCAATACAAGTATAATCTTAGTTGGACTTTTTCTAACATTGATCCACCTGTTATATTTGCAAAGAAATATTTAAAACAGATCTAGAAAAGCACAGAAAAGCTAAACAAACTTGTTAGTTAACAATTTACAGAAGAATGAGTATATTAGGGTATACATCACAGTTCTAAGTCATATTTATAAGAAATTATTCTACATACACGGTATCTACAAAACCATTTCCCCAGCTCATTCCAAAGACAATAACAAGGAATGCTTCTTAACTTTTTTTCCAGTTGAGGATAAGGAGGGCCAAAAGCTTGTACATGGTCTAATAATATATTTTTGAACTCATCTACAAGGGTATCCTATATTATAGTAAAGCACTGGTAAAAGTTTTCGTGTAAGAACTTAAGTAAGGCTCATGCCTGTGCCCAGAAACTCAGGAGGTTGAGGTGGGAGGATTGCTTGAGTACAGAGGCTTGAGACCAGCTTGTGCATCATAGCAGGACCCTATCTCTAAAAAAAATTTTAAGTAGCCAGGTGTGGTGGCGTTCACCTATAGTCCCAGCTACTTGGGAGGCTTAGGTGGGAGAATCGCATAAGCCCAGGAGTTTGAGGCGCCAGTGAACTATGGTGGTGCACTGCACTCCATCCACACTGGGTGACAGAGCAAAACTCCATCTCTAGAAAATAAAACTTTTTAAATTTTAAAAGGCTTTTCATGTAGGAACCAATAATACTAAACCAGCATAGTCTTATTATTATCTCACTGTATTGACTACAATCATCATAGATAATAACAAATACTAAATTGTTATTCATGGTTGTTTTAATATCTACAAAGAACTTTTAAAATATTCACAAAAACACAGATAGAAATCTCTGATCACTGAAACTGCTATTGGGTATTGCTGCATGAGCACTAGGACTCATACAACAGAGAGGCATTTTATATCATTTAAACTTTTTTTTTTTTTCTTTGAGATGAAGTTTCACTCTTGTCGCCCAGGCTGGAGTGCAGTGGTGCAATCTCTGCTCACTGCAACCTCCACCTCCGAGGTTCAAGCAATTCCTGTGCCTCAGCCTCTCGAGTAGCTGGGATTACAGGCGCGTGCCACCATGATGGGCTAATTTTTTTTTTGTATTTTTAGTAGAGATGGGGTTTCATCATGTTGGCCAGGCTGGTCTCAAACTCCTGACCTCAGGTGATCCACCCACCTTGGCCTCCCAAAGTGGAGGGATTACAGGTGGGAGCCATCACGCCTGGCTATTCATATCATTTTGTTCACCCAAGAAGATTCTAAGGCCAACCAACATGAATTTACAATTCGCAACTGTTGTCTATTGCAGAACAAGTTAAACTTTCAAATATTTTCCTAATTCAGGGCTATGTTCACTTCATGATAATTTTGGAGCTATGCACTTCAGATTTTTTTTTTTTTAATTTTTAAAATTCAATGGTAAGAGGAGTAGCATCTACTTGACAAACGCACTTTAAGGAGTATTCACTAGATACACTTCTGTAACAGTGATTCTGGAAATACTGGCCAGGGAGAATCAATTCCCATTTATTTCAATTTTTGATACATTATTTACCAATTGCCGTAATAGTTATTAGGCACCTACAAAATGACAGGCACTATTCTAGGCTTATTGTTTAGAATAGTGAAGTCTAATTACCTAAACATACAAAAACAATACTGAAACATAGAGGGGCTTATAGGTACAGCTATGCTATTTGGTGATTCAGATGAAGCTTCCTAAGACAGTTAATTAGAAAATACCCTTACTAAAAAGTACCTACTGATAATTAATCCAAAACAGTTAATTATAAAATACCGTTACTAAAAAGTACCTACTGATAATTAACCGGGTATGGTAGCACGCACCTGTGGTCCCAACTACTTGAGTGGCTAGGGTGGGGAGATTGCTGAAGCCCAGAAGGTCAAGGCCACAGTGGGCTGTGATTACACACTACACTCCAACCTGAGTGGTAACAGAGCAAAACCCTATCCTCCACCCAAAAAACAACACAAAAAAACCTACTACTAATTGCAGTTTATATGTGTAATTCATAAAGGGTATTATCTTTCACTGATGAATTCACTCATCCAATCTATCTAGATGCTCACATACATAATTCTAATAGCTTTACTGCCACTATTTCTGAATTTCCTAAGATAGATTAAAACAGTTACCACTGTATGAACCTTCTAAAATCTGACATTTGGAATTGGGGACCCAGTAATCAGAACAAACTAACATGTCTATTAATAAAGCTTTTCTTGGCCGGGCGCATTAATAAAGCTTTTCTTGGCCGGGCGCAGTGGCTCAAGCCTGTAATCCCAGCACTTTGGGAGGCCGAGACGGGCGGATCACGAGGTCAGGAAATCGAGACCATCCTGGCTAACATGGTGAAACCCCGTCTCTACTAAAAATACAAAAACTAGCCGGGCGAGGTGGCAGGCGCCTGTGGTCCCAGCTACTCGGGAGGCTGAGGCAGGACAATGGCGTGAACCTGGGAGGCGGAGCTTGCAGTGAGCTGAGATCCGGCCACTGCACTCCAGCCTGACAGAGCGAGACTCCGTCTCTCAAAAAAAAAAAAAAAAAAAAAAAAAAAAAAAATTAAAGCTTTTCTTACATACCCTCACTGCCAAAGCCCATTTGGGGTCTCTTCTCATTCCCTTCTAATTTCAAGTTGTTCTTTGATGACTTTTGTTTAAGGTTGTTCATGCTGCTCCTCTGAACCTCATTTTCTCTTTGAAAATTACAGTGAGTTTCTACATTATAATGTGCCCTCACACTGAACCATGTGCCTCCATTCGTCACTCCTAACCAAAGATATCCCTGGCATATCTTCACTACTAGACTTAGGATCCAAATATAACTGCCGATGCTCGCTTCACAATGTGTTAAAAACTCAGTGAAGATAGCTAAAAATAAGGAAGAGTCTCTTAAAGGTTAGTATAGAAATTCAATAGTATATACTAATTTATTTCAGAAGAAAATGTCACAAGAATTAAACATTAATAGAAATGTATATAATCAAAACACTTGGAACCACAGAGAAGAAGAATTCAACAAAGGACTCAAGAGTTTAGGACAATCTCTTGCACCTAGAAAATGTTCATTAAAAAAGAAAGAAATGAGTTAGTCTGATTTGGTTTCAAAATGTTAACAGTTCAATTCTAGAAATGTAGAAATTCAACACTGTAAGAACAACAAAAGATGCAATCTGTTTAAATCTCTTCTTCAATCTCAAATATTCTCATATCATCCCACTTCCTTAAAATTTCACAATCTGTTAGATTTAGAGCACTCAAAATATCAAAGGACTACCAGCAATTATTTATGTGGAATCAATGGATGATTTAAGATTTCAATTTCTCCATCTATTAACCAAAAAAAATACTGACCCAAAAAGTTCCCTACAAAAATGATTTTAATAACTGAAGTATAATTGTGGTTTCAGAATATGCATAATTTTTTATATTAATCAACTACAAAATTTCACTAGCTATAAATATACAAGCAGTATAGCAAAGCGAGGATGGTTAGTAATACAGGGTAGTTAAAACACCTTCAATTGGTGTATTATAAACTTAAAAGATGATTAAAAGCAAAAAGTGAAATTTTATTCCTCTACAACTTGATATAATTTTTATATTATACTTTCATAGGAAAACAAGTGATGCTACTAACTAAAATAAATCTCTTCATTGCAGAAAAATAAAAATTTTTAACAGGAATTTTCCACACAGATTAAGATATTCTACCAGAATCTCAAAAATATAACATCTATAAACCCATTCTATAAGTATCCCAATATATAAGAAATGTTTCTGTGCATTTAAGAAGTCAATTTTAACAAATTTTACCTTACACAGTAAAATCTTAAAAGCAATTATTCCCTTCCATTTTCACTATTCACTAGCCTACTTCAAACCTTTATTATTAATAAGTCCCTCCTGGAGTGTTGCAACAGTCTCCCAATAATGAGTTGAAGCCTTTCTAATTTTGATTGTATACACATAGCCAGGATATTCATTTGCTTGGTATCTTTGCAGTCTCTCAAAATATCAGATGGATAATTTCTCTCTATTGGCCAAAATAATCAGACCAATAATCTTTTAATTTGCTTATTTAGGTAATACTAAAATACTAAGAACAATTTCCATCTAAATCTCAAGTATCTACTGTTTATAAGGAGTCAATTCCGCAGTGATCTACTGGAAATGTAACTTGAACACAAGAATCAGTGCTACAAGACCATAAGGCAGAAAGAGAATTACAATGTAGTTCACATGGCACAATTATTCTGTAGTGCCTTCCCCAGTATCAATCAGTCAACTAGCAAATATTTATTAAGGTGCAAGATACTATGAAAGAACAAAATAGACCTGATGTCTGGCCTCCAGATGCTTATACTTTAATTGAAATAATAGTTTACAAAGGATGCCAAAATGTTTTATAATGTATCTTTCTGAACCAGATTTTAACCTTGTGGTTTATCTATTTTCACATTCTACCTCTTAAATACTATTAGGTGTTAATATTAGCTAGCAAGCAATTACTAAAACAAAGTATTCAACTACATTTGCAACTCATCGAGTCCTTGAAAATTAGTGATCCATGACACTCAAGTGATTTAAATTATTTTATTCTGTAAAATTACTTTAGTCTGTAAAAGCACCAACTGGGAAAACAATCAAAACCATGTAATAATTACATGTTTCATTTATGTACTCTCAAATTTTTCTGAAAAAATACTGGATCACAAAATGACCTATATAAAGGAAAAGAAGAGGTTAAGAAATAAAAGCTAAAAAAAAAATTAGAAACCCAACTAAACTCTTGGAAACTTCCAACTAAAGGCTAAGATTTAATTACTGTACTCAAAGCAAAATAATTTAGCAGATAATCTCATTAAGTTGCTTTGTTACTCTAACTCGTCTATCCCCTTATATTTTTCTTTTTTTTTTTTAAACAGGCCTAACATTTTAAATTCTTCAGTACTGTTTAGCTGTCTCTATACAAAATTACTTGGAGACTTGATCATTTATTTTAGTATGGCCAGGGTTTCTAACAAGTTAGAGACAAAGATAAATGAAGGAAAAAGTATATCATAAATTAAAATTCAGCAACAAAGTACTTAACCTTTGACCACTGTGTTAATTATGGCTCTATAAATCAGTAAAATATTGATTATTAACCAGTAGTTATAATACTATAAAAGTATAGCTACCTAGCACATCTCTAAATAATTAGTTTACTTCATATGGTAAGAAAACAGTATCAGCTCTTTATCCATAGTACCTCAAGAGGGAAATCCTTTATGCTGACATCTACAAAAGATTGGCAGTAATGAGGATCCATGTAAATCAAACTGTCATCTACAAGGACAAAACAGAAGACAAGTAATTCAAAAAACACCTTATTATTACGCTGCTTACAATCCAATTTCTATGTAGAATAGCTGAAAAAAATCTGGGAGTAACAGCTTGCCAGACTGATACTCATTGACTGAAACATAGGTTTGCACAGGATAGATTAACTTTTGCATAATCAAATATGCTTGTATAAGCAGAATTTTTATAAAGTGATGAGACTGTCATTTAATTTTTGGTGATAAAATTACTTTCACAAACACACAATTATATTCTACAGTTTGCATATGAAAAATGTACTGCACTTCTTTATCTTGACAGGAAGAACATATTGCTTGTCATTTTATCATCAACTTGCACCACTAAAACTGGTAAAAAGTAAATATGTAAATAGCAACTGCCAGAATGTGGCAGCAATGTCTTCTGAAGTTTAGTGCAACCAATAAATTATGCCTTGTTTATGCAATAACAGAAATTAAACATACATTTTACAGAATCTAATTATGTTGTGGACCAAATGACAAATGAGTGGCTATAGTAGGACTGATGAATGTGTAAGGTACTCTCTTTGCTCTGTTAATCATCCTGTTTCCAGATGATCTCATATTAACTTTCTGACTTTTAAAAGAAAATAATGAAGAAATATATTTTACTAAATCACTAACCTTGAAATCCAGCAAAGTAATATGACTGTTTAGGTTTGCCACCAATAATACCCACACAATATTCCAGGCTTAAAATACCCTGCCAAAAAAAATTAATACAGATTTAGTCAAGAGACAAGTGGTAATTATTCAAAGCAAACCAATTTCTATTACTAATATTAGTAGTTCCCAAATTTACCACTACCAGTTATCATTTATATTATATTTGCACTCAGGTTCTTTCTGAAATCCACTTGTCTTCCAAACTGCCTTCCTTTTCTTTAAATCACTCAACATTAACATGACAAATCAAATATTTTGATCAGCATGTTGCTCAACAACATTAAACAACTACTACATAGAGAGATAATCAATTTTGTCACCTTAAGGCAATAAAATTCCTGCCAAAGCCAATACACTTAGCCTTCCAGTTAGCTGGTGCAGCCTCACTGTGATCAACATAAAATTTTTGTCAGGCTTTTTGAAATGCTAACGATAGTTCTTAGAACTTTTGGCTGTTTTCATTGAACCTTGAGTCTTAGAATCGCAAACTGAAAGCCATTTTCTAATCAATGGCATTCACTCAAATTTTTTATGCTACTTCATTTGAAATAAATATAGAGTGATGAAAACAACTTAATCCAAGGAAAATAATATTACTACATTTAAAGCCAATTTATTTTACTAATCATAAAATATCAAGAATACCACAATAAATTATTTAATACACCCCTCAGCAATCTATTCTAAGCAGAACTCTAAGTTAGGCCAAATCAACTCTATATCTTTTTAAAAACATGTCCAATTAAGTAAGTTTAAAATGTCTAGTGGAATGAATTAATGTCTTATCAATAGTTCCTGCAATAATTTTGATATATCCTATAAAACACAAATAATGATAAAGTATAGGTTATAAAATCTCAAAACTATTAAACAATAGTTAAGCTTTCCTTCTCTTAAATGAGAGGATGTTTTGAAATCTATAAGATACAAAAATAAAGAATATATGCACAAATGTTCTTTTTCCTTTAACAAGTAACCAAACCATAGAGAACACACAAACATACAGGAAATACAGAAAAAAGTAAAACTTTTCCAAAATTCCAACGCCAGAGCTCATCATTATTAATATTTGGGGGAATACCTTCTTAATATCTGTCTATATGATATATATACACACAGAGATTTACAAATACAATTTTATATATGTGAAATCTCACAACATATGCCACTGTAACCTTTTGTTGCTCATATTCATGACATAATGTCATGAATATCTTTTCCTATCAATAAATAGAAATCTATATTAACAATACGTAGTTGCTGAAAAATATTCTATTTTATGATGACAACAAAATGTGCTTTAAAACTTCCACTGTAAATATTTAAGTCATTCCAAATTCTCACTATTATAAGTAACCCTCCACTATAGTTTGAACATTTTTATTCCCTCCAAAATTCATGTGTGGGAACTTAATCCCCAATACAGTGTTGAAAGCTGGAGCCTGTGGGGAGGTGTTTAGAAGTTATGAGGGCAGAGCTTGCATGAATGAGATATGAGGTTAAAATCTTAGAGCTAACTAAAAATGAAGATAAAATTGTATCAAAAATCTCAATGTTGCTATAAAAAGGACTTGCAGGAGTGGGTTCTCTCTCCTGCTTTTCTGCCACATGAGGACAGAGTTCACTCCCTTTTGGCCCTTCTGCCTTCCACCATGTGAGAGCGCAGCAAGGAGACCCTCATCAGATGCCAGTGCCTTGATCTTAGATTTCCCATCCTCCAGAACTGTGAGAGAATAAATTTCTGTTCTCTATAAATTACTCAGTCTCCAGTATTCTGTTATAGCAGGAAAAAATGGACTCAGACACCCTCTAAAGAACAACCTTGTATATTTTTAGTATTGTAAAAATATCATAAAGTTCTTTTCTGAAATGGAGAGCTGCAACTGAAAAAAATTAAATAAAACAGAGAAGGCATATCAGGTTAAAATCTTCGAGCTAACTAAAAATAAAGATAAAATTGTATCAAAAACCTCACTAAATAGTAATAAAGTTACTTATTAATAAAGAATTCTACTGTTTTCCCCCTAAATAAAAATCCTTAATACAATTAGAGGGTGCCTTACTTTACCGTGAGGCAGTCTAATCAGTTGAAATGCAATGTTTATATCATAGAGACCTGTGAGGCAGTGAAAGTTCTGTCTCTTACAACTGAGAAAAGAAAGAAAAAAATATATAGCAAGAATTGTCACTGACTCTCCTCAGAAAATGAATAGTTCTAAGTAATGGAAGAAAGACTTTGGTTCTTGACATCTGTATTTCCCTTGCAACGCATTAGAGCAGGTTTAGCAATAAATGCTTAGAAGCAGATTAGGAGCTAGAATGCCATTACATATAAGAGGCTGTATCTTTGGATTGAAACACTTTTCAGTTCCTAAAAGAGCTTCTTCACAGTTATTTTTCTAGTGGTGAAAATTTATTGAGCTGTATCCATGAAGCAATAAATAAGACTGAAGTAATCAGTCAAAAAGAAAAGTCCTAATTTGTCTCACTGAAGAAAAAGAACATATTGGATTTTCCTCATTCCAGGTCCTTAAAAATATATACATACATAAATAAATAAACCTCCTGTGGTAAGGACTAATAAAGCACACAACAAATTTCCTTCTTCTCATACAATGTAGCAGGATGCTATGTTGGCACTATCTCTGAAATACCTTGTTTAATAAATTTGAAAAACAGAACTAAACAGTAAATTTTAGACTCACCAATGTACATTGGTTTGGCAGGAAAAAATACAATGGCTGACCACACATGAGAAAAAGAAAACAAAATATTTTTCTTTTAGGGCTAATGAACACACTACCTTTTCACTTCTAAGTGAATACCTCTTTACATGCTCTCATTTGGGCTTTGACTCAACCACTCCCTCTGGCCAAACATAATACCTATCATATAACCTACTCCACTTAACCATTACAGCCATTTTTACGTAAATGGAAAATCAAAATGTTTCATCAGTCACTGCTCTCCCACTTTAGTGGACTACAATGTAAATACAGTTAGTAGAAGCTCAAGAAAATGTTACCTTTCAAAAAGTTCATGTGTTAGAGAAAAATATGAAAAACAAACAAGCGCGGTGGCTCAAGCCTGTAATCCCAGCACTTTGGGAGGCCGAGACGGGTGGATCACGAGGTCAGGAGATCGAGACCATCCTGGCTAACACGATGAAACCCCGTCTCTACTAAAAAATACAAAAAAACTAGCCGGGCGATGTGGCGGACGCCTGTAGTCCCAGCTACTCGGGAGGCTGAGGCGGGAGAATGGCGTGAACCCGGGAGGCGGAGCTTGCAGTGAGCTGAGATCCGGCCACTGCACTCCAGCCTGGGCGACAGAGCAAGACTCCGTCTCAAAAAAAAAAAAAAAAAAAAGAAAAGTCTAGTCTCTGCTACCAGTCTGCTATCTGAACTTGAATATATCACTTAACTTCTCTATGTCTTTTAGATAAATTTATATTGAAAAATATTATAAAAATTAGGGTTAACAAATATGTATTGAGTAACTCCTGTATGTTAAGTACTGAGGCTTCACTTTAACAGCTTAACCATAGTTTGTTTCACTACAAAAAGAAAAGTCCTAATTTGTCTTGCTGAAGAAAAGGAACATCCTGGATTTTCCTCATTCCAGGTCCTTAAAAAAATTAATATAAATAAATAAACCTCCTGTGGTAAGGACTAATAAAACACACACCAAATTTCCTGCTCCTCATACAATGTAGCAGGATGCTACATTTCACTACAAACCATGGTTAAGCTATTAACCATGAATCACTCAAGAGCATTAGGCAGTGTGACCATCTGATGAATACCATCAATACCACCAAATAGCAAAGTCCTCAGTCAGATGGAACATGCCTGAAGCCATCTGCAGCCCATTCCACCAGGAATGAAACTTCGGCTAAAGGAATCAGTTCCAAGACTGCATCAGTTTCTAATCATCTCATGGTAGTAGAGAAGGCAAAAAAGAATCCAGTTCAGATTTGATTAGAATCCACCTAGAGATGACACGTCAGAAGTCTCAAAACCCTCAACAGCTTCTCTAGATGAAGTGGTTCACAGTTTCTCACACTGCACCAATAACCCTACTAAAGATACATGTCAGACATCAAAACCTTACCTTTATTTGGAAGATTAATATGTCATTGATATATCACAGTATTGTTACTGTAACAAATGTGCTTCCAAAATCTTAGTAACTATTAAGAAAAGCCTGTATACCAGCTAAAAAACTTCCATGTATCATATGTTAAAAACAACTGCTCTAGATTTCTAGAATTAGCACAATCTACCCTGAGAACAGATGTTCCAACTAAATATACAGAGACCATAATATGGGATTAATGCCTCATGGAAGGAACAAATTGTTATTAATCATAAAAGACAGATCCAGACTTTATTTCAACATTACTATATCCCATAACACTCCATTTAAAGAAGAATTCCAACTATTGCTGCAAAAAGAGACTACCAAAAAAATGAAGAATTTTATTGAAACTATGAAAAAATCTAAAAACTTTCACCTTAATCAGAAACTAACTATTTCCAAGGTATTTTATCGTCAGTGAATGTCTTGGTGCCCAAAACAAGATAACATAACTACACAGGTTCTTTTGGTACAAGAAACCAAACAATGTGCTCCACAAAGAACCGATTTTTAACAATGAAAAAAAACAAAGTTGGAACTCCTCCAAATACTATCTTCATATCTTCATTATTTCTATCTACATAAATAATCTCATCTCTTATTGACATCATGGTGTCATAGGAAACATATTATGAGATAATATAGCAGTAATAGAGTTTTTTCAATAATTAATATGATACAGTTTAATACTAGTTTTATGAATAAAGATACATACTTAAAATTACAAATAAGAATAATGAAACTGTAACTATATTACAGGTTATGATTATTGCTGCATTTGTGTCTCCCTGATTAGCTACAAAGATTAAAAGGCTTTTCATTGTTATAGAACACTGTGCTCTTCAACTCACATTGGTCTTATAATACTGAAATTTAAAATCTCTAATGTCAAACTTTATGACATACAACTGTAAAATCATCACTGGTCATTTAACAGAAAAAAAAAATTGCAAACCTTCTATATTTTTCATATTAGCTAGTATTGCCTTAAAAAAAAATCAGCGCTTATTTCATACCTTCACAAATTCTAAGTAGTCGGTGTTGGTTCTTTCTCCACCAAGTCTAACAGGAACTAGAATAATAACAGCTTTGTCATCTGCATTATCAGAAGTCATGGAAGCACTCTGTTTATCAATTACATCACAATTGTAAACTGAGAAAAACATAATAAATATATATTAAATTTTATATAAAAGTGATTTTCAGAAATATTTTTACCCAAATTTATCCTCTACCCGCAATAGACAGTCGGCTATGTCATCTCTGGCATCACCAGAAATGTCTTAGTAAGTTAAAAATACCACTAGGATAACTGGCTAGCCATACACAGAAGACTGAAGCTGGACCACTTCCTTACACCATAGACAAAAATCAACTCAAGATGGATTAAAGACTTAAATGTAAAACTCAAAACTATAAAAACCCTAGAAGACAACCTAGGCAATACCATCCTGGACATAGGAACAGGCAAAGATTTCATGACAAAGACACCAAAAACAATCGCAACAAAAGCAAAAATTGACAAATGGGATCTAATTAAACGAAGAGCTTCTGCACAGCAAAAGAAACTATCAAAATAGTAAACAGATAACCTATTGAATGTGAGAAAATATTTGCAAACTATACATCTGACAAAGGTCTAATATCTAGCATCTGTAAGGAACTTAAATTTACAAGAGAAAAACAAATAACTCCATTAAAATGTGGGCAAAGGACATGAAAAGACACTTTTCAAAAGAAGACATACATGTAGCCAATTAAGCATATCTTAAAAAGTTCAATACCACTGATCATTAGAGAAATGCAAATCAAAACCACAATGAGATACCATCTCACACCAGTGAAAATGGCTATTATTAAAAAGTCTAAAGGTAACAGATGCTGGCAAGGTTGTGGAGAAAAGGGAATGCTCATATATCACTGGTGGGAGTGTAAATTAGTTTAACCATTGTAGAGAGCAGTATGGCAATTCCTCAAAGAGTTAAAAACAAAACTACCATTTGACCTAGCAATCATTATTGGGCATATACCCAGGAAAATATAAATCATTCTACCATAAGGACACATGCACACAAATGTTCACTGCAGCACTATTCACAATAGCAAAGACACAGAATCAACCTAAGTGGCCATCTGACAGATTAAAGAAAATGTGTGGTACATATACACCATGGAATACTATGCAACCATAAAAAAGAATGAGATCATGTCTTTTGTGGCAACATGGTTGGAGCTGGAGGCCATTATCCTTAGCAAACTAACACAGGAACAGAAAACCAAATACTGCATGTTCTCACTTAAAAGTAGGAGCTAAATGATCAGAACTCTCGAACACAAAGAAGGGAACAATAGACACTCGGGTATACTTGAGGGTGGAGGGTGGGAGGAGAGAGAGGAGCAGAAAAAATAACTACTGGGTACCAGGTGTAATACCTGGGTGATGAAATAATCTGTACAACAAACCCCCGTGACATAAGTTTACCTATCTAACAAGTACCACATGTACCCCTGAACCTAAAATAAAAGTTTTAAAAAAATACCTACCTGATTTATGTATTCAATAGATACTTACTGACAGCTAGCTACTATATGACACTGGGCTTTCAGCAGTAGGCAAAACAGAAAAATTCCCACTCTCCTTGAGCATGCATGCTCATGGAGGAAATAGAGATGATGATGTGTGTTTCGAAAAAACGAAGAGAGAAGGGTGAACAGGAAATGCTGAGGGCAAGGCAATTTAAAATAAGGTGGCCAGGGAAGATCTTATAAGAAATATTTGAGTCAAGACCAAAAGAAAGAAACCAAGTAATACAGATACCTAGGGGAAAAGCATTCCAAGTTAAAAGATCAAAAAGTACAAATATCTTAAGGCAGAGGTATAATTAGCACGTCCCAGGAACAAGAGGACAGTCTTCTGGAGGGAAGTAAACAAGGGGTACAGTAGCAGGAAATGGGATTAGAAGATAACATTATATAGAGGAGAATGAAGACAGATTGTATGAACTCTTGAAAACCATTGTAAAGACCAGTTTTTCAGTGATGGGAAACCATTAAAGAATTGTTTAGGGATGTCCTAATCTGACTCATAGTTTAACAGCCTGTTTCCTGTGTTCATAATAGACTGTACAGGCAAGGGGCTGCTCTGCCTATGGAGTAGCAATTTTTTTATTCCTTTACTTACTCAATAAACTTGCTTTCATTTTACTCTAAAACTAAAATAGGCTACAGGGGCAAGGGCTACACCACAGAGAACAGTTACAAAGCCACTGCAGTTATCCAGCAAGAGATGATGGGGGCTTGAACAAAGGTAGTAACTGTAAAAACAAGGAATGGTCGGCCAGGCGCGGTGGCTCATGCCTGTAATCTCAGCACTTTGGGAGGCCGACGTGGGCAGATCACAAGGTCAGGAGATCGAGATCATCCTAACACGGTGAAACCCCATCTCTAGTAAAAATACAAAAAAATTAGCTGGGCGTGGTGGCGGGCGCCTGTAGTACCAGCTACTCGGGAGGCTGAGGCAGGAGAATGGCATGAACCCAGGAGGTGGAGTTTGCAGTAAGTGGAGATCACGCCACTGCACTCCAGCCTGGGTGACAGAGCTAGACTCCATGTCAAAAAAAAAAAAAAAAAAAAAAAAGAGGGAATGGTCACTTACAGGTAGTAGAAAGTGATCAGTTCAGCTAGGTGTGGTGGGTCACACCTCTGATCCCAGCACTTTGGGAGGCCAAGGTGGGTGGATCACTTGAGGTCAGGAGTTCAAGGCCAGCCTGGTCAACATGGCGAAACACTGTCTCTACTAAAAATACAAAAAATTAGCCGGGCATGGTGGCAGGCACCTGTAATCCCAGCTACTCGGGAGGCTGAGGCCAAAGAATCGCTTGAACCTGGGAGGCGGAGGTTGCAGTGAGCCGAGATGGTGTCACTGCACTCCAACGTGGGCAACAGAGTGAGACTCTATCTCCAAAAAAAAAAAAAAAAAAAGTGATCAGTTCATGTATCTGAAGATAAAGTAAGGACTCACTATTAAATGTAAGATGTGAGAGAAAAAATTGAGTCACAGGTGATTTGAAGGGTTTTGGTTTAAGCAAACCATTTGTAAATGGTTTGCCATTTACAAAGACATGGAAGACTGGAGGAGGGGAAAATATAGGAGGGAGAACTGGGAATTCAGTTTTAGACATGGTAAGTTGGAGATACTTGTTAGGTAAATAGAAAGGTTGAGTAGACAGGGACATATGCAACTGGAATTTGGAGAGAGGACTAGGATGGACCTATCAATTTGGGAGTTACCAACATGCAGATTACCATCTGCATTATAAAGCCACAAGACTTGGTCAATTCAAATCAGCATAGACAGAAAAAGAGATGAGATGAAGTCTAAATGCTGAGCACTAAAACAACATTTTTAGAGATCAAGGAGATGAGGAAAAACCAAAAAACGAGGCTGTGAAGGAGTGAATAAGGAGGTAGAGGGAAAATCTACAGAGCAGTGTCTAGAAATCAAGTAAACAAAATGTTGTAAGGAGGAAGAGGAAAGAGTCAACACTCTCAAATGCTACTGATAGATTGTGTGATATGAGGACTGAGAAGTTACTGCGAGGCTTAGAAAGATTAAATTATTGGTAAGAGCAGTTTTGGGGTGGGCACAATGGCTCACGCTTTTTTTTTTTTTTTTTTTTTTTTTTTTGAGATGGAGTCTCCTTCTGTCGCCCAGGCTGGAGTGCAGTGGCACGATTTGGCTCACTGCCACCTCCGCCTCCTGGGCTCAAGCCAATCTCCTGCCTCAGCCTCCTGAGTAGCTGGGACTACAGGCACCTGCCACCACATCCAGCTAATTGTTTTATTTGTAGTAGAGATTGGATTTCACCATATTGGCCAGGCTGGTCTCGAACTCCCGACTCTGTGATACCCCCGCCTTGGTTTCCCAAAGTGCTGGGATTACAGGTGTAAGCCACCACGCCTGGCCAGCTCATGCTTATAATCCCAGCATTTTGAGAGGTTGTGGCAGGAGGATCACTTGAAGCCAGGAGTTCAAGACCAGCCTACGCAACACAGCAAGACCCCCATCTCTATAAAAAATTTCAAAATTAGCCAGAGATGGTGATGCATGCCTTTAATGCTAGTTACTTGGGAAGCTGAGGCAGGAGCAACACTTGAGTTCAGGAGTTTTAGGTAATAGTGAGCTATGATCGCACCACTGTGCTCCAGCCTGGTCAACAGAGTAAAATCCTGTCTCAAAAAAAAAAAAAAAAGAGAGAGAGAAAGAGAAAAGAGCAGTTCTGGTACGGTGTTGGGTATGACAGTCTAAGTACCACAGTTAAGAGAAAAGAGGAAGATTTGGTAGAAGCAAATATAGACAAAATTTTATTTTATTCAAATTAAAGTTTTATTCAAAACATACTTTACATCCATACTCCTTGTCAGTTGAATGAAACTCTTCTGATCTTCCCAGAAGAGCTGAATAGGAAATTCTGCCACTTCTGTCCCAGTTCTTTCCTTTAAATTCCAAATTTAGACTGAGCTATCAAATTCTTCTCTTCACCTAACTCCCCTATCTCCCATAGTCAATTGAAACCAAAGCTACAAAAATGCCATGGTAGTTCTCCCTCATCAGGATGGAGACTGCATTCTTACCCTTCATCTTCAATCAACACACATTTATTGAGGATCTGCTATTTATTGATGCATTCTACACTAGAGAAGTATAAAATAAATAAGATCCTGACTTCAAAGAATGTCGAGCCCAATCGTTTGGTATTTTCCCTCCACTTCCAATATAAGTGCTATGACATAGTCCAATTCTGTAACAGAGGCTCATTACAGCAGCAAATCTCAACCAAATGATTCTGATACCTTACTTCTACGCCTGCTACCTCAACAATCATTATATATAAGAAACAGATAATTATAAGGTGGTATCACAAGTGAATTACAAGTACAATATTTAATAGAAGTATTTCCAAAATGTTACAGACCACAGAGGAAAAGTAAACTAATTCCGCCTAACAAGAGTTGGGAAAGACTGCCAAAGGTGTAACCTTTGTGTGTGTTCTTGAAGAATGAATAAGACTTAACGAGAGACATTCTAACAATAAGAGCATTCCAAGCAGAGGCAATAATATGCACAAAGGCATGGGGATAAAGATAATGACACCATGTCTAAGGAATGGGCCTGAGGGTGGAAAATACTTTAGTGTACTGTGTATGGAAGATAGTGTTAGAAGGTGATGCTGGAAATGTAGTTCAGGACAAATTATAAAGGACTTCATCGTGCTTCATGTGCCAAGATAACATGAGACTAGAGTTAATGGGCATTCATTGGTTTGTAGATAAAGGGACATGATCAGCTTCTTTTGATCAGATGGACCAAAAAGGGAAGAGAGACAGGGAAATCAAGTTAAAGTCCAAGCAAGAAGTAAGGGTCTGATTTAAATCAACGAGAATGGAGATGAGAGAACAGATTTCAGGACCATTTTCTTAAATGTTGACTGACTAAATATAATATAAGCAATGAAAAAGCGGTCAAGAATAAGTGGGTTCTACTTAGGACTTGAGCGCATATGTGGACATGCCACTATTAATCAAGAGAAAATAGAAAGAAAAAGGGGTGGGACCGAGGGAAACAGTAAGTGTACTTATAAACATGCTGAATTTGAAGTGTTTGTAGAATATGTAAGTGGAGATATTTGAAAGGTGGCAGAAAATATGCGTTATCACATATTGACTCAGGTAGGCTTAGAAATGTAGTTTTTTGAGACAGTCTCACTCTGTTGCCCAGGCTGGAGTTCAGTGGCACAGTATCAGTTCACTGCAACTCCGTTTTCAGGGCTCAAGTGATCCTCCCACCTCAGCGTCCCGAGTAGCTGGGACTACAGGCATGTCACCACCATGCTCGACTAAGTTTCGTATTTTTTGTAGTGATGGAGTTTCACCATGTTGCCCAGGTTGGTCTCAAACGGCTGGGCTCAAGTGAGCCCCCCACCGTGGCCTCTCAAAGTGCTGGGATTACAGGCATGAGCCACCATGCTCGGCCCTAAAAATGTACTTTTAAAAGTCCTAGTACACAGTACATAGTCCTAAGTATTTAAAGCCATAAAAATAGATGCAATTACAAAGGAAGAGAACACAGAATAAGAAAAAGAGAAAATAAATGGAAAACAAAACCTTTAAAAACACGAATGAAGACAGAGGGGTAATAAATCATTGATAAAATCTAGTTTCACTTAATTCCTAATCTCATAGTCTATCAAATTATACAAATACAAGTTCTCCCTTTAGGAGTCTTAAACATGAATGATAAAAATTTTAAGAACTACTTCAAATTACACAAGCCATTTCTATAACAAGGAACATTGTAATGTTTGCTTAATTAATTATACATAGCAAATATCTAGGCTGACTGTGTCAATAAAAGCACAAAAGGCAAATTCATACATTCATTTAATGATTACTTGTTCAGGTATATCCTTAGGCTTAATTAGAACTATTTAACACAGCAAATGTTTTGCAAGACTTCCTACTTGAAAAACAAACATAGTACCTGCAAAACTCATATACTTATCTGAAAATTTAGACCTTTTATTTTCATATGGCTATAATTATGGATATTAGTCTTTCTTTACAAGGAAATTAACCTTAACAAAAGGCCAAACAAAAACGCATGAATATTTGGTAACTATTATTACATACTACAAACACTAGTTGGTTATCAGGGTAACCTTAAGCATTTTATAGATATCCTTGTATTAAAACATGATTGAAGTATATTTAACTTTTCTAAAACATTAACATATTTTATTATTGTAACAGTATTCCTGTAAAAAATATACTTAACAGCATGAGGTGGCTAAGCCATTTTTATTTTATTAAGAATTAAGGTGTCTATTTTATCCACAACAAAGTTTCAAAATTACTACAGGTTGCGCATTCCTAATCCAAAATCTCAAACTTTAAGAGCACAGCATTTTTCACAAGTGAAAAATTCTACATGTGACTGCATGTGATGGGTTGCAATCAAAACATGGCCAAAACTTTGTCTCATGCACAAAATTGTTAAAAATAGTGTATGAAATTTCCTTCAGGCTATGTGTATAAGGAGTATACAAAACATAAATGAATTTCATGTTTAGACTTCAGTCCCATCCCCAAGGTATCTCATTACATACATGCAAATATTGAAAGGTCCAAAAAAATACAAAATCAGAAACACCTGTGGTCTCAAACATTTTGGATAAAAAATAACCTGTATAGAGAGTGATCATCAAAAAGAAGACCCAAAACAATAAAACAAAGCAAAACTGGACAATAGCTGCATCATTATTAGATGATTTACTGAAGTATTAGTGAGAAATATATTCAATTCCTCATAAGATAAACTAAGAATTTTCTTTCCTTGAAACACATCCACCAATGAAATGATACCCAGCACTCATGCAGCCCAAGTATATACCTATGTTAAATTTTCCTGCCTATCTCTTTTAATTATTTGAAATGCTGAAATTCTTTGAGAATTTATTTTAACAACGCAACTAAAAATTCATAGTACGTATTCAATCAAAAAATATTTTTATTAAGTGCTTACTACATTTAGGAACAAAAATGTATAAGACATGGTCCCTACCTTCATAATCATTTATGGTATTACTGGGATAAGCTAAACACATATAAAAAGTATGACCAAATAAAACAGATAAAAATTAGAATTATATACATTCCTTACCTGTACAATCTTGTGCAACATAAATAGTTATTCCTTGTAAATCAGGGTGTCTTGCTTCTTCAACTGCTTTTCTGAGAAAATAACAAGCATTATCTTTCAAAATCCTAACATTTCCTATTAGTAACTAAAGATTTAATTTAAGAAGGAAAAAATGTTAGGAGTTTTGTGACTTTCCTATTTAATTCATAGTGTCTGCTGTCAAAAACTATTATCTGAATCGTATCAGACATCAGATTAAAATTTTCAAAGTTGAATATTACATTAAATTACTCAAAGAACATTAAAACATAAATTACAAAATACATTTTAAAAATTATTGGGTATAAAGCTCTACTCCTCTCCCTCCAAAATGAAGGATTTCTCTCAATCACTCACCTTACCAGCAGTATGAATATGCTGCAAGATTTGCTGCAAATTAACTTACATTACTGACTAGGAGGCAATTACTGTGTCTGTCCTCTGGTACACTTAAGAAACTTTTCGTTCTTTAAACAACAGCATGACTTTTTTCCTTCATTCAAAAACCTATACGACCTAAACAAACGAATTTCCTAATTTCAAGTCTTAAAATTATATAAGTAAAAATGTAAATTAAACAATATTCCTAAGTATAATGTTCTCAATGCTCTACATGATGTGAAAAAACTCACAGTATCTGTAAACAGTGATTACGCAAATTGTGGAAACATAATTTTATTTAACTATATATGTAATTAATTTAAAATGTCCTATTATTCATGTTCCTATGTGATAGGCACATAGAAGAAAGATTGGCAAACTATGCCCATAAACTGAATAAAACCTGTGTCCTGTTTTTATACCATCTGCAAGCTAAGAATGGTTTTGACAGGTTTTTTTTGGTTTTTATTTTTGAGACGGAGTTTTGCTCTTGAAATTATACAAGTAAAAATATAAATTAAACAATATTCCTAAGTATAATGTTCTCAATGCTGTACATGATGTGAAAACAATCACAATATCTATAAACGATGATTATGTAAATTGTAGAAATATAATTTTATTTAACGATATATGTAATTATTTAATTTAAAATGTTCTATTATTCATGTTCTTATGTGTTAGTGTAGAAAAAAGATTGACAAACTATGCCAATAAACTGAATAAAACCTGCGTCCTGTTTTTGTACCATCTGCAAGGTAAGAATGGTTTTAATAGCTTTTTTTTGTTTTTTTTTTTTTTTTTTGAGACGCAGTTTCGCTCTGCCGCCCAGGCTGGAGTGCCCTGGTGCGACCTTGGCTGACTGCAAGCTCCGCCTCACGGGTTCACGCCATTCTCCTAACTCAGCCTCCCGAGTAGCTGGGACTATAGGCACCCGCAATCACGCCCGGCTAATTTTTTGTGCCTCTTTTTGTTTTAGTAGGGACGGGGTTTCACCGTGTTAGCCAGGATGGTCTCAATCTCCTGACCTCGTGATCCGCCCGCCTCGGCCTCCCAAAGTGCTGGGATTACAGGCGTGAACCACCGAGCCCGGCCTGTTTTGACAGTTTTAAAGGACTGGAGGGAGAGGAAAGATGGTCAACAGAAACTTTTACAAGACCTGTGAAGCCTAAAATATTTACTATTGACACTCACAGAAAAAGTTTGCTGTCCCCCGGAGTAGAGAACATCTTGAAGGGTAGAAACTACGCTTTCATGATTATGCTCTTATAAATGTCATACCAAGTTGGAATTGATATATTATTAACAATCAAATTAATAATATTAGGCAAATACTTTTCAACTGTAAGCATCTGGCCTATAAAATATAGGAGCATGTTAATATGCAAAAGTGCTTTGTAATGATTTCAAATTTATACATGATTTTAAATGGAGTAAATTAAATCACATGTTATACTTTTATGAAATATTGATGATTTAGTTTATAACAAAAATGGGATACACACACAAATAAGATAATTTTTTGTAAAACTTGGTATCAAAATAAACGGTACATAAAAAGCTGAAGTAAAGTGAAATTTGACTTTCAACTTTTTTCTAACTATCCTGAATGTCACAGATCCTTTACTTTTACCATGATATAATTATAATATTAATAGTGCCATACATTTACAATTCACAAGAATTTGATGTGTGCAAAGAAATGCTGAAAACATCAATTTTAGCTCTTGACATTTCATTACACCATCAGTACATTACAGCCCCCAGGTTACACTTTTAAAAAAAAAAACTATAATGTTATGCATGTTCCAAGGTTGAAAGAGATGTTAGTGTTTAGAGCATTTCAATAAGGTATTCTAATGAAAACCTGGTTAGAAAGAGACCTGGCATATCTACACCTAAGAGAAAGAGAATAAAAATTTGTCAGTAAATAAATTAAATGTAACTTGAGCCGCAATAGGTCTTCTTTTTCTCTATTGGCAAATGAAAGCGTCTTTATCAACATTCTCATACAGTTAGACTATTAAAGTTCCAATTATATATACAAATTGCAAAAATCAGTATCTCTTGATCCTGGGGACCTCTATCACAAGAAGAAAGATTTTAAAACAATTTTACCTTAAAATGTGAGCAACCACAGCTGGTCCATACCAATCTCCTGCTTTTTTCCCAGACTTCTTTCCATATTCTATTAGTTGATGTAAGCCGAAAAGAGCCAAGGGGGAATCACCAAACCAAGAGATGATTTTCCTATGATAAACTTCATTTCGCATTTCATGATCATCTGAATATTTCCCAATTGTTTCCTTCAGAGAAATTTTTGGGGTTTTGAGTTCTCTTTCCCCTGAAAGCGATGCTTCAAATGATGCAGTAAATTTTTTGACAGTGTGGGAAGTCCATGACTCAGAGTCTGAATTTTCAATATTCAAAGCATCAGGCCAGGTCCAAGCTATAGTAGTTCCAAAGCAAAGTGTTCAGATCTTTTAAAAAGATACTTTAACAATTCTACTAATATGTAGCATTTAAGGTCATTTGGGTTACTAAGATAGTAAATTCAAAAATAGGCAAATATATGGAAACAAAAAGTAGATTAATGGTTGCTTATGGAGAGGTATTGGGAGTGGCTGCTAATGAGTACAAGATTTCTTCAAGGGATGATAAAAATGTTCTAAAATTAGATTTATGGTGATGATTGTGGAACTCTATAACTACGCTAAGAACCACTGAATTGTTCACTTGAAATGAGTGAATTTATGGTACACAGGTTATAGCTCAATAAAACTGCTTAAAAAACAAAAGTACAAGACAACAATATGCCAAAATATCAATGATGTTTATAGCTTAATGGTATTATTCTCTGTACTTTTCTGTAGTTTCCAAAATTTCATATAATCAAGAAAAAAATTACAAAAATGTAAGACGAAAGAAAGAAAAAATAGTAACCTTGGGTAAAAATGGACAATCCCAGGTGCTCTTTTTTCTGTTCTTTGACAGTGCTGAGATAGAATAAAGACTTTTATATTTCATTATCAGACTGCTTATCAAACATCCAGTCTTGACTACCCAAAGGCACAATAAATATATTTACTAACATTTATGATACTCATAAGAGATATCTTCAGAAAGTGGATGTTTTGATTATATGTTAAAATAGAAGTCTGACCATGGAAGTATGAAATTTTTTTCAAAATATTTTCTTGTACATTTCTTCAGAATAACTTAATCATTATTAACAGAGTAATAACAATTCTCTAACAGTTAATAAAGGAAATCATAAAAGATCAAAGACCTCGAAAAATCAAATATATCCATTATGTCACTGTTTTGAATAACAAGACAATCCCCAAACATGCATATAATTTTAAGTTAACAAAATAAGTCATAGATTCAGAGATCTAGTGAGGACTGAAAAATATTCCAATCTTTGCCCATAACTGCACAAGACTATAAATAAATCATCCCAGAAAACCATTTTAAAAATTATTTTTCCTTACATTTTCGACACCATTCTTCAATAAACATTCTCTCTAAATAATCTCATCAATAATCTCTACAAAAAAGTTACTAAATATATGCCATGCATTGTAGGGATACTGTCTTAACACTTATAAAAATCTGACAGTATTTAATAATCAAATGATATCCTAAAATTGTAAATTAAAATATTCCTGCAAATGTACACATTATTAAAAATGGACTAACACAAAGGTGGCACATTAGGAAAAAATATATATGTAAGTTAAGTATCAACGACATTTTGTAGGGTCTAAAACTGCATGATGACCTTATTAAGAATATGTCTAGTGCCAGGCACAGTGGCTCACACCTGTACTCGCAACATTTTGGGAAGACAAGGTGGGAGCATCACTTGAGCCTAGGAGTTCAAGGCCAGCCTGGGCAACACAGTGAGACCACATCTCTACAAAAAAGTTTAAAAATTAGCTAAGCATGGTGGCATACACCTGTGGTCCCAGCTGCTCAGGAAGCTGAGGCAGGAGAATAGCTTGAGCCCAGGAGTTCAAAGTTGCAATAAGCTACGATTACATCACTGTGCTCTAGCCTGAGCAACAGAGTGAGACCCTATTGCTAAAAATTTTTTTTAATTTAAAAGAGTATGTCTAATCGATTTAATATAACTGAGTATAATCACACTAATAAAGATAAAAAATACTTTTAAACCATTATCGACATGTAGGGAGAAAATAAAGAAACCAGAGTAAAGTCTCTTAAAATTTCAAAAATATTACATATCTCCCCAAAGTCACTGTTATTGACCTGCCCAGGACTTAACTAAACTGGAGATAATCCAGAGTTCAACCAAAAGGAAAGAAATAGTAACAACAATAAAATCCAAAGGGTACTAAAAATTGAACTAACTTAACTCATAATGGTGACCAAGAATAACAGGTATATTTAACCTACATTTTTGAAAAGGGAATCAGGAAAATTTACATATAAGTCATATCTGACCCAATTCAAAAAAAAAAAAATGCAATACCCCAAATTAGTTACAACTCCTTAGAATTTCTCAGTCAAGAAATTAACCTCAGGGAATTTCATGCAGTTTGTAAGCTGGAATTCAAATGGAAAAATATCGACGACAAAAAAAGAAAAAAAAAAAAAAAAAAAAATCAGAGATTTGATTTACCTCTACCAAGAAAGTGTAGTATGAGTCCTTGAGCCAAGAGCATCTGACCAGTTCTCAATGTGCAGCCCCACCCACAGTCTGTTGTCAAAGCTGAGCCTTCTATTTGAGGGAATTCTTCCCTGTAGGTCAGCCATATTCTAGAAATGAAATCTTTACGAAATTCTTCTACATTTCCTGCAATTACGTGATCCTCTATTGTACATCCCGATCCTGCAGATAAGGTTTTATCTTCATCTAAAAAATAAACATATGGTCTAAAGAAAACCAGAGAAATGTCTATAATGGTAACAAACATTATCATTACTGTCTTAAGATGTGAAGTATGTCACAATCTTTCTAATCCTTTTTTCTAATTTTAAAAGATAAATCTTATTCTGCCTATGAAAATCAAGTTTGAATGCTGAAATGTTTTACATACTGTAGAGTTAACTAAGGTATTATCAATAATACTCGTTATTAATAATAATATCCTATATTCTATACATAATTAACTCTTTGAAGAGGGGACACAGACAAGGATGATATTAGATTTCTCACCAGAAACAAAAGAAGATAGTGCAGCAACATCTTTAAAGTACGGAAGAAAAAAATCATTAACTCAGAATCCTATACGCAGCAAAAACATCTTTCAAAAACAAAGGCAAAATAAATACTTTTTCAGACATACAAAAGCTGGAAGAAGACATCACCAGCCAACCTGCATTAAAAGAAACCTTAGCCAGGCATGGTGGCTCACACCTATAATCCCTAGCACTTTGGGAGGCTAAAACAGGAAGATTCTGGCTGGCTGCAGTGGCTCACGCCTGTAATCTCAGCACTCTGGGAGGCCAAGCCAGGTGGATCACTTGAGGTCAGGAGTTCAAGACCTGTCTGGACAACATGGTGAAACCCCATCTCTACTAAAAATACAAAAATTAGCCAGGCATGGTGGCAGGCACCTGTAGTCCCAGCTACTCGAGAGGCTGAGGCAAGGGAATCGTTTGAACTCGGGAGGCAGAGGCTGCAGTGAGCCAAGATTGTGCCACTGCACTCCCGCCTGGGCAACATAGTGAGATCCTCATTTCTACAAAAAATAAAAAATTAGCCAGGTGCAGTGCAGATACTTGGGAGGCTGAAGTGGGAGGATCACTTGAGCCAGGAGGTTGAAGCTGCATTGAGCCATGATTAAACCACTGGTCCAGATGGAAATACAGATTCACACAAAGGAATGAAGAACACCAAACATGATACCCTCTTTGAAGGATATTTGACTATTCAAAACAAAATAATAGCAATTTATTATGGGGTGTGTAACATATAAATAAGTAAAATGTGTGGGGTGTATAATATATAAATAAGTAAAATGTATGACAACAATATCATGAAGACCAAGAGGGAGAAGGTGAAGTATACTGTAAGGTTCTTTACTACATGTTAATTGGTATATCACTTGAAGGCACACTGTGATTAAGTCCGAGGTGTACACTATAAACTTTAAACCACTAAAATAACAATAAAAAGTTATAGCTAATAAGACAACAAAAGAGATAAAAGAGAATCATAAAAATACTCAATCCAAAAGCAGGTAGAACAGGAAGAGAACAAAGAAAAGATTTAACAAATAGAAAGCAAATAATGGCATGATATATTTAAACCTAGCTTTATTAATAATCATATTAAATGTAAATGGTTTAAACACATTTATTTATTTATTTATTTATTTTTAGTTTTTGAGAAACAGGCTCATTCTTTCACCCAGGCTGGAGTGCAGTGGCACAGTCTTGGCTCACTGCAATCGCCGCCTCCACGATTAAAGCGATTCTTATGCCTTAGCCTCCTGAGTAGCTGTGATTACACATAAGTATGCACCACAATGCCAGGCTAATTCTTGTATTTTTAGTTGAGATGAGGTGTCTCCATGTTGGCCAAGCTGTTCTCAAACTCCCGGACTCAAGTAATCCACCTGCCTCGGACTCCCAAAGTGTTGGGATTACAGGCGTGAGCCACCATGCCTGGCCCTAAATACCATAATTTAAAAGGCAAAGATTATTACATTGGATAAAAAAGCATGACTCAGCTAGTACTTCCTATTAGAAACATATTTTAAATGTAAAGACACAAATAAAGTGTAAAGTATGAAAAAAGATACACCATGTAACTTTAAGCAAAAGAAAGCTGAAGTGGCTATATTTTTATTATTATTATACTTTAAGTTCAGGAATACATGTGCAGAACGTGCAGGTTTGTTACATAGGTATACACACGCATGGTGGTTTGCTGCATCCAACCACCCATCACCTACATTAGGTATTTCTCCTAATGCTATCCCTTCCCTAGTTCCCCACCCGCCGCAAGGCCCCGGTGTGTGATGTTCCCCTCCCAGTCTCCACGTATTCTCATTGTTCAACTCCCACTTATGAGTGAGAACAGGCAGTGTTTGGTTTTCTGTTCCTGCGTTAGTCTGCTGAGAATGATGGTTTCTAGCTTCATCCATGTCCCTGCAAAGGACATGAACTCATCCTTTTTTATGGCTGCATAGTATTCCATGGTGTATATGTGCCACATTTTCTTTATCCAGTCTATCATTGATGGGCATTTGGGTTGGTTCCAAGTCTTTGATACTGTGAATAGTGCCACAATAATTATACATGTGCATGTGTCTTTATAGTAGAATGATTTATAATCCTTTGGGTATATACCCAGTAATAGGATTGCTGGGTCAAATGGTATTTCTGGTTCTAGATCTTTGAGGAATTGCCACACTGTCTTCCACATGGTTGAACTAATTTACACTGCCGCCAACAGTGTAAAAGCATTCCTATTTCTCCACATCCTCTCCAGCATCTGTTGTTTCCTGACTTTTTAATGATCACCATTCTAACTGGCATGAGATGGTGTCTCATTGCGGTTTTTATTGCATTTCTCTAATGACCAGTGATAATGGGCTTTTTTTCATATATTTGTTGGCCACATAAATGTCCTCTTTTGCCCACTTTTTGATGGGATTGTTTTTTTCTTGTAAATGTGTTTAAGTTCCTTGTAGATTCTGGATATTAGTCCTTTGTCAGATGGAGAGATTGCAAAAATTTTCTCCCATTCTGTAGATTGCCTATTCACTCTGATGATAGTTTCTTTTACTGGGCAGAAGCTCTTTAGTTTAATTAGATCCCATCTGTCAATTTTGGCTTTTGTCACCATTGCTTTTGGTGTTTTAGTCATGAAGTGTTTGCCCATGTCTATGTCATGAATGGTATTGCCTAGGTTTTCTTCTCGGGTTTTTATGGTTTTAGGTCTTATGTTTAAGTCTTTAATCCATCTTGAGTTAATTTTTGTATAAGGTGTAAGGAAGGGGTCCAGTTTCAGTTTTCTGCATATGGCTAGCCAGTTTTCCCAATACTATTTATTAAATAGGGAATCCTTTCCCCATTTCTTGTTTTTGTCGGGTTTGTCAAAGATCAGATGGTCGTAGATGTGTGGCATTATTCCTGAGGCCTCTGCTCTGTTCCACTGGTCTATGTATCTGTTTTGGTTACTGTAGCCTTGTTGTATAGTTTGAAGTCAGGTAGTGAGATGCCTCCAGCTTTGTTCTTTTTGCTTAGGATTGTCTTGGCTATGCAACCTCTTTTTTGGTTCCATATGAACTTTAAGGTAGTTTTTTCCAATTCTATGAAGAAAGTCAACGGTAGCTTGATGGGGATAGCATTGAATCTATAAATTACTTTGGGCAGTATGGCCATTTTCATGATATTGATTCTTCCTATCCATGAGCATGGAATGTTTTTCCATTTGTTTGTGTCCTCTCTTATTTCCTTGAGCAGTTGTTTGTAGTTCTCCTTGAAGAGGTCCTTCATTTCCCTTGTAAGTTGGATTCCTAGGTATTTTATTCTCTTAGTAGCAATTGTGAATGGGAGTTCACTCATGATTTGACTCTCTGTTTGTCTATTATTGGTGTATAGGAATGCCTGTGATTTTTGCACATTGATTTTGTATCCTGAGACTTTGTTAAAGTTGCTTATCAGGATAAGGAGATTTTGGGCTGAGACAATGGAGTTTTCTAAATATACAATCATGTCATCTGCAAACAGAGACAATTTGACTTCCTCTCTTCCTATCTGAATACCCTTTATCTCTTTCACTTGCCTGATTGCCCTGGCCAGAACTTCCAATACTATGTTGAATAGGAGTGGTAAGAGAGGGCATCCTTGTCTTGTGCTGGTTTTCAAAGGGAATGCTTCCTGCTTTCGCCCATTCAGTATGATACTGGCTGTGGGTTTGTCATAAGTAGTTCTTATTATTTTGAGATACGTTCCATCAATACCTAGTTTATTGGGAGTTTTTACCATGAAGCAGTTTTGAATTTTATCAAAGGCCTTTTCTGCATCTATTGAGATAATCATGTGGTTTTTGTCATTGGGTCTGTTTATGTGATGGATTACGTTTATTGATTAGCGTAGGTTGAACCAGCCTTGCTGCATCCCAGGGATGAAGCCAATTTGATCGTGGTGCATAAGCTTTTTGATGTGCTGCTGGATTCGGTTTGCCAGTATTTTATTGAGGATTTTCGCATTGATGTTGATCAGGGATACTGGCCTGAAATTTTGTTTTTTTGTTGTGTGTCTGTGAAGTAGCTATATAAATATCAGACAAAATAGACTTCAGACCAAAGAATTCACCAGGAATAAAGAAGGTCATTTCAAAACTACTAAGGAGTCAATTCATTAAGAAACAATAATTCTAAATGTTTATGTACCTAATAACAGAGCTTCAAAATAGTCCTCACTTAATGTTGTCAAAAGGTTCTCAGAAACTGTGGCTTTAAGCAAAATGACGTACAATACAATCAATTTTTTTCTCATCATTGTTATAATGAAATGAAGTTGAACAAAAGGATGTTGAGGACCTGCTGTATATCATTTCACTTAATGTCGCAGTTTCCAAGAACCTATCTGTGACATTAAGTAGGAATTACTGTAAAAGAAGCAAAAACTGATGGAAATTCAGGAAGAAATAGACAAATCCACAATGACAGATGTTAAATCATTTTGGTCCCTAAGATACAACTGGTATACCAGAGATAACCCTAAAGTAATTTTTCCTTAATAGCTCTTAGGCCCATCATGTCCTGGTCACCTAAGAGAAGACGTGAAAAAATCCTAGCCAGGTGATGGCATGCGATCTGTGGAAAGATGAGGCTTATTAAAAATAAAATAAATTCTTAATTGTTTTCTTCATAGACAGATCACAGACAAATGGCA